GTCTTGTTTGTTCTACAGAGAAAAACAGTCGATAAGAAGTCGTTATCAGTGATTGGAGATGATGAACGGCTATAGAGGTGACAGGGTCTCCCGTATATAGGTTATAACAGCCTACTTCACACGAACGCTTTAAGGGCAATGATTTTTCATTTTCTCTTCTTTTTTTTTGCGGGGGGGGGGGTATTACTATAACACGATCACGAGATTCATGACGATCGCAAATGTTAACTTGAGCAATTTAAAAAGCCTTTTTGAAAAAATGCGAACATAGCAATGGCGTATTACGTAATATTTGGGATGAAAATAATGAACAATCGTGAACAATCGTATTATATACCAGTGTTACATGTTTATTTTTGTGTAATCATATTTGATATTTTATGAACGTACATAATTTTGTATAGGCCTATCTATAAATGTCTGACACGGCTCTGATGGAAACCAGTTTTGTCACTGTTTGGGACTTTTTACCGTGTAAAACTGAATATGAACGAAGGATTCAGTGACAGTCTTTCCAGTCGTATACTTGTAGTTGGTATAATGTCTTTCTTGACGGTATGATCATGGGGATATTACATGTCAAGTCAATGTTTACCATTCTCCTTGAAATTTGAAAGAAATTGACGGGCAAATTATACCAGTTTACAACTACAAGTGAATGTGTCAAAGTGTATTGAGAATCAACGAAAATACAGTTACAGCCAGCGGCGAGCCGTATAGATTTAAAAAAAACTCTAAACCAGCTGTTGAAAACAGCAGAGCATTTGCATGAAAGGTAAGGAAAATTAGTGAAATAACTAATAGAACAAGTATTATCCATCATCTCGCCATGACGCCATCCATGAAAAAACAAAAAGAAAAGAGAACGAATTTGAATCAATCAGTGTCTGCGCAGCAAGACTATGTTCATAAATACTTACATATTATTTACATACACGTGTGTTGGAGATTGGAATCGAAGCAAAAGTAATCACCAGTTTTTTTTTTATCAACCATCGATAAGCCTTACTAAAAAAAAAACCTCTTGTAGGGGTATTTTACACAATGAAATATTTCAAGTGCATTGTTTACTGGGGGAAAAAAAAGAAACATGGGTTACTCGGATAGTTGCAAAGCCTACAAAAGTACGGATCTTGGGACTTTTTATGGGGAAGGGGTGGTAGTAAAGATGAATGTACATTGTTCAAACTGTCCGATTAGAAGGAATGATTAAGAGGGGCGTTCAAAAACTATATAATTATATAAAAACCAAATTTTTCATGCGAATTGAATTGACGGGGAAAGTTCGTATTCGTCGACATGAAACTACATTTCTTGGTAATTGGTCGCGTCACAGTTACCATGCTTCCTTTTCCCAACTCAATTATTGTCTGGTAGAATCGAACTTTATGACGAAACAGTGGTTTTAGGGACATATCCCATTGGTATGCACATAATAGCGGATCAAGGGAAGAGCCTCCCCTCCCCTGGCCAAACAAATATTTTGATAAAAAAGAGGGTAACGTTAATTTTACCTTAAACAAAAAGAAGAAGAAGACGGGCCCCTTCCCCTGATAGTCGCCGCTAAATATTTTGGGGCCCCCTCCTCGCCGCCGACTGAATCCGCCCCTGGGTATGCATAAGATATAGCATGTGCCCCCATTTGACATGATGTATTATTTAAGAATATAGACATTATTAAATGGGGAAGCCCAACCAGATATTTGGTTGGTTTCGATAAAAGCAGAAAAATGAGAGAAATAAATGAGTGAAAGTATGAGCAATATCCCATTAAAGATATAAGGAAATTTATGATTTGTTTAAAGTTGTCATTAGTGGAAATTGGAAAATAAATTGGCATCACTGTGACGTATCTTGCAAGCTCATCTCCAATTTGCTCTGTACAGAAATTTTCATAATTTTCTTAGTAGTTAGATGACGGAATAGATTTGTTTCATACACAAGTTGTATACAAATAAATTTGCAATAATTACATTTAGATCAATGTATGATTGACAAAATTCTTAACGTGAAACATATTTCGTTTTTTAATTGTTTTAAGAGCACTTCAAAATTGATTATTTTTTCTTAAAATTCTTGCATATTCCGAACATGGGATAAAATCCATCAAAAATTAAAGGTAATTGCGTAATGTGAAAGGCAAAATCCACCAATCAGTTGGTATTGTTCTTTACTTACAGTTTAGATGACATCTCATCTCGAATTCTCGATATGAAGATTCCTAGACCCTTGTCGGTATGTTCAAAAATATTCCAAACGCAAGAAAACAGCAAAATTTACCAATCTGTTCATAATTTCACACCTGACTCCGACGAAATATGCGTCTATCGGTAAATTTAGATACCTATTTCTATTGGTTATCTCAGATCTTCGAAATCTTACCGATTTTGTTGTTCTTTATAGATATGAAATTGTCCGCGAATCAAGGTCTCGCGCGAGCCATAATCCAGTAAAGGGTTTGTTTTACAAAGTGATATTTTCCTCTTTATAACATGCGTTTTATGCAGTTCACCATATACGTGTACATGTACATACCAGCATTTTGCACTTTCTCCAATAATAGTGCGTATCATAAATCACGATAATGTAAGCCAAATATAGGATAACATGGTATCTTTAATGACGCGGGGGTAGGTAGGGAGGGGAGGGAGGGGGGGGGGGGGCTGTGTTTGCCCAAACCAGGGACTTCGGAGACATGTCCCTGCCCAAACCTAGTGCTAGTGTACAGGCCCAAACCATTGCGAAACAGTCGTGTCTGAGCCATGAGACTACGCACGGTCTACTGGCTCTACTTGTTTGACACAGTCCTGAGACTGATATAAAAGGCTCATCTCAAGAGTTTATGGAATTGTGTTTTGAAGGGAAAGTGTCAGATAAGTGTCTGTGCTAAAAGACTTCCCATCGCCTGCATTCCACACCTCAAAAACGTTCGTTTCATTTTATCATATATACTGTTTTGTTTTTGTTTGTTTATGGTATATTATTTCCGATACATGTACATGTATTTGTTATTACAAACACTGGTACCCTCTCCTGCAGAAGAAAATAATACTAGACCTATCACTTATGCGGAGCCAGAATTATTTATGATCTAAAACCAGACACTGTCAAAAAGTGTCGATTTACATGAAGTCACATTATTTACAGACTCACTGATCACAGTTTGGGATGCTGCCCCCCCCCCCCCCCCCCCCCCCCCCCCCCCCCCCGTCCCTGGCCACGCAGGCTGCGTTATTTTTTTCTGCGGCACCGATTGGGGCATGGTGCGTGTTGAGCCCATGGGAAGTACGTTCTTTCCCTTCTGAATAGTGTCTGCACGTACGTGAGACTAGGCATGTTCGCTAGCGCATATTAGCGCTGCGAAGAAGTTTGAATATCCATCGCGAACTATGTGTTTAGATAAGATTCCTCTTCGTTACAGTTAATTAAGTTTTATTGACTAATTATTGTGATGTTCTCCTTATTGACGTGCTGCCTCCTCTTCAGATTTCCAATTGCATTTTAATTGTTGATGTAATGATTTTCCATTCGGTAGTGGTCTAGTGGATTACATGTAACACTATTAAAAACAGACCTCTACTACTAGTACGCACACGACCACTATTAGTCTGTAAATCAAGACCCCTTTTGAAAAAAAAGCCCCAATCTGTGCCGCAGAAAAAATAACGCCTCCGGCTCGAGGGCTGGGAGTGCCAACACAAGTCACCAATATGTACGCTGTACATTTACTCGTATATACTACATGAAGGGGTTGAATTGCATCATTTTGATTTGAGTTTGCTGTATTTAATCAATTTATTTATATTTGTAGTATTGCAGGAAGCCAATAACATTTTCCTGGGGTTTTTCTTTATTTGTTCTCTGTTTGTTGTTGGTTTGTTCTCACACTTTCAAAAGGTGTGATGTGATACTAGTAGAGGTGTGTCGAATGGTTTCAGCAATTGACTTGAAATGCAAAGGGCATGGATTCGATACCCGACACGGCTTGAATGTCATTCGGCAAGGCATATTATCTACATTTGCCACTCCATATCCAGGAGGGAAATACAGGCCTGGGCCATGTTACATTTGTCATCAATGGAAACTACCATGGTAACAGGGCTCAACAGCCAATCAAAATCAAGGTTTCCATGGTAGCAACCATTGATGGCAAAGTTATCATCAATGGTAAGTTTTGTGCAATGTGGCCCAGATAGGATAACAAAAGTAATTGTCACAGTGACTATTATGGTAGGAATACTCCCCAGGAAGTGATGATGGTGCACAATGACACAACTACTATGTTAATGATGATGATAATAATGATAATAAAATCAATACTGATATTAATGACAATGATCATGATAATAATGACATTAATGATACTAATAATGTAAATTATTTTCATTTCATTATTAGAACTATATTCATTATCATTATAATCATTATAATTATAAATAGTATAATATGTGTTATAATTAAAATCATTGTTATTATTATTAGTGTTACATGTGTTATTATTATAAATGTCATTATCACAATTTATCATAGAGATCCACACTTGACCACAGACATTGTCATAATGATAAACATATGAAGTCTTCATGTTTGTGATCTGCTAGGACAAAGTGTAGTACCAGCCTGCCTAAAAGTGCCTAGGCCTATATATAGGCTACAGTCCAGCATCATGTGTGTGTATATAAAGCAAATCATACCCTGTATTTTTTCCTATATCAACTTCCAAAATACTGATCTAGAGATCGAGACTTGACTAGACCTACAAAATGTTTGCACTTTACAATTACAGCAATTTGCAAACTGAACAAAACTATTATTAAATATTTTATTAGAAGTCATCCAACAACACAGCTGCATGTATAATACTACCTATATGCCTAATTTAAACCAAAAATAACACAGCACTATGATTTATAAATGAAAAAAGTACAAATACTAATGATTAAAACCAAACACGAACAAAGCAAATGCTACATACATATTGAACAATGGAGTTGACTCACCATTTTCTTACGGTGATGACTGTGTCGTGGCCCCGGCGCGTCCCGCGGACTAGTCGATTCGGTCTCGCTGATGTCATCCGGCTCTTGTTTCACGTGTAATATATCTAGTTTAGCAGATTTGGTGGGTATTTCTCCATTGTGTTGTTCCTCGTGTAAAATAGTGGTAGAAATCGTCATTACTTGGGGCTTCATGTCTATGCCATTAAATATATTCCAATGTAAACGAGTGCGAGTACTGTAACTTGTAAGGTAGTTCGAACGCTAAACAATGCCTAATGGCAATGCTACATGTACGATGCATGCACTATGCATACGATCAAACGTGTACGATGTGGCCCTGAGTTTCTACACGTAAAATTACATGTGAAAAGGCGAATGGGAACTCACTGGGACAAGTCACGGTCATTCAATACACACATCCGGGTGGGGTGTCCACACGTCCAACAAATATCCGCATTCATTTAACGATCGATACGGTAAGCGAACTATTTCCTTTGAAGTACAAGTAGTAAGCTTGACAAAGACAAAGGTAGGGTTATCAAAAGTCCTTTTCGGCCAAACCTTCACCAGACAAAATTGCCTACAAACCAAAATGAGGAAGCTCGGTGGACATTATTGTTGCTTCTCGCCCCCGCGAAACAGTCAAGTGGTCTATAGCTTAATTGTATGACTCAAATATGAAGGAAAAAACTTGCCTTTTTATGTGAGCATTTATCGCGGTGCTTGAGTGGACTTTGCATTATGCCAATAATAGATTTGCCATTTCGAACAAAAAAACAGACGCACTTTTCGGCGTATATGTTTTCGGATGTACGTACAGTACGTGGTAAAGTCTTTGACCGCGATTGACGGTTTCTTTACTTCCAATTCCACGGGAAGTGCTTATTTTTTCTACATTTTTAGACACGTCTGAATTTGGAAAGAAGGGAAGAGTTTATATCCGGGACAAAAATCGAGGATACTGGATATACCAGACACATTATCTGGTTACACTTTCCCTTGTCTGTCTATATTATCTGTCTGAAATGAATATTCTTTCAGCTCTTGGTTATTAATCAGTTGATCTACCCCGCCCCCCCCCCCCTCTCTCTCTCTCTCTCTCTCTGATACCTACTCCACATCCGGTGTTTGATGATCGCCACCGGACCCCTCCACCCCTCTCATGTGTACCATCTAATTAATAAGACAGTATACAACACTCCTTATTTTGCTCTCATTCTCTCTCTCTCTCTCTCTCCCCCCCCCCCCCCCCCCCTCTCTCTCTCTCTCTGTGAAACCTACTCCACATCCGGTGTTTGCATCAACAATAATAACGAACCACTGAGCCGAATAAACGTCTTTTTTCTTTGGTTGAAAATAAATTCAAAGCGAATCCGTTATTGAAAAAAAAAATCCACAATATAAATAGGCTTATATAATTTAGTCAAAATAAGACAGTTCAAAAGAAGAAACCCAACAAAGTAAACAGAGGCCCAACTAAAATTCAGAGAGACAACGGCGCCAGGAGTGGGGGGGGGGGGGCAGTGTGGGGGGGGGGGGAGTTGCCCCCCAATCAAAAAAGTGTGGGGGGAAAACGCATTTTTGCCCCCCCCCCCCCCCAAAAAAAAAAAAAAAAGCCCCGGCCCCCCTCCAAAAAAAAAAGCAGTAAAGGAGTAAACATGGTTTGTAATTTTAACCCAAAAGAACATAACAATAATAAAAACCTGAATTAAATCACATAAACAATTCCATTCAAAGAAAAGGAAAGTTCACAGGAATTGAATTTCATAAACATTGCGCATGCCACCTATATCAATGGAGGTCTTTAAAATAGCGATACGCGCATATCGAGGACATTATTGTGCGAGAATGGGAAAGCGTATTTTTTTTGTTATAGGGGTGAGAAGACATGAGCCCCTGAACGCTGGCGTACTGATGGGGGGGGGGGGGGGGTATATTTCTTATTCGATACCAGCGATTTACGAATATTGCTGTTATGACATGATTTTCCGGTATTTTTTCTCCATTATGTTTGTAAGTCATACCTTTTTATGCGTTTGTTGGAAAATAAGAAATTCCCAAATTACAGTCGGGCGAAAAATACGCTTTAATATTTAGTTTAGAAGCATTTATGTCATAGTCTGCAAAAGTGGCTGGGCTCGAGCCCCCCCCCCCCCCCCCCCTCACTTTTTGAAAAAGTATGTTAAGGAGAAAAAGAAAGAAAGACGGAGAGAAAAAATAAGTGACCTGCCAATGTCACAAATAAGGTAGAAAAAAGGCCCATCTGACCGTAATTAAATGCCTAAAACCCCAGAGCTTACGGGGTCTCCGCCCCCGAGCCCCACCAAGGGCCCTAAGGCGGTCCCCTGGATGCTCATCGGACTGTAATTAAGTACCTCAAACCCCTGAGCTTCCGGGGACTCTGCCCCCTGGACCCCACCAAGGGCCCTAAGGCGGCCCCTGGATGCTCATCTGACCATAGTTAGATATTAAAACCTCTGAGCTTCTAGGGGCTCTCCCCCCTGGAACACGTCAATGGCCTTAAAGAGGGCCCCTGGATGCTCATCTAACCGTAATTAAATGTCTAAAATCCCAGAGCTTCCGGGGGCTCAGCCCCTTGACCCCCTGCCGAGGCTCATGCCCTGGACCCCACGCCAATTTACGCTCTACCTGATCGTTAATACTCCACTTTGAAAAACGTTCCGCGGGACTTGCATGTAACCTTCCGAACGTTTTTTCTCATTACGTCACTGCCCCTGGAAGGTGAGCCCCCTTGAATGCTTGCCCCACCCCCCCCCCGAATTCCAAACTGCTTCCGGCGCGCCTGCAGAGAGAACATTTTTGTAGAGGTATGGGGAAGAGAACAAGCTAGGAGGGATACCACAAGGCATATTATTACAGTCATGACTAGGACAAATTCAATCCATGAATAAGGAGTAAGGAGTATTCATTTTTTTTTCCCAAAAAAAAATTGAGGGGAGGGGGTTAACCCCCAAAACAGCCCCTGCGTACGCGCCTGACCAAACCTTACAACGCGTCTTGGAATGGTCCTTAATTATTTTGAAACAGCATTTGATATCTGCATTGACATTTGTATTATGGTTATTGTATAGGCCTACTATTATGACATGATATGCTATGTAATACAAAATCAATCAAACAAACAAACAAACATAAATATAGGGAAAGAGAGAGATGGAGAAAGAAAGAAAGAGAGAGAGAGAGAGAGAGAGAGAGAGGACAAGGGAGAGAGAGAGAGAGGGAGAGAGAGAGAGAGAGAGCAAGGGAGACAACGAGAGAAAGAAAGAAAGAGAGAGAGAGAGAGAGAGAGAGAGAGAACCGGGAGCCAAAGAGAAGGGGGAGGGGTCAATAATATGTATTTCAGTGATCAAAATAGCACACACACACAAAGGCTTTCAACGCTTTTGGATGCCTCTGTGTGTGTGTTTGAAGAAAAATAATTCTCGTTCTAGATACACTTTTTCACAGGGAACGTAGCGTGTTTTCATTCATAAATGGAAGCATACTTGTTTAGCTTTTTACTTTAGTCTGTTTGCCTCAAATTTTCTTTAAACTCGTCAACTCGTCATTTGTCGTGTTTACCGTCTTCTAATATCTGAATACAGGGGCGGATCTTGTTTTTTGCCAAGGGGGGGGGGGGGGGGGGGGTTGACCAAAAGAAAATCCAAAAATCGCGCCGTTTTAATGTTTTACTTTTTTTCCTTCTCACTTGGCCGCCCAAGGGGGGGGGGGTGGTTAAACCGCCGAAGCACCCCCCCCCTAGATCCGCCCCTTGGATAAGTTCTTCCTTCTATAGCCTTAAAATGGAATGCCATATTGCCATTATGATAGGACAAAGTATGATGGCATTTTCCCCTCCTCAAAGTTAGGCGGAATTCAGTGAGAAAGAAAATGGAGTCGTGCCTGAAAGGTGCGGACATAATATCGTTGCTTCGATAGAACGTATTTCGTTTCAACATGCATGACTTCATCTATCTTGTTTCCGACAATTATATTAGTAGGAGTAAAAAAGGGAATATAGAAAAAAGATGAAAATATACCATTGCATTTTCCTCGAACACCAACGCAAAAGTTTGTGTATATCCATTCCCTAATACTAGCTGGTACTATTAATCTGATTGTCTTCTCATTACTAAGAAATTCTTTCTGTAAACAATTCCCTGCAATACCTTATTAATGTTCAGGGAAATTTGTGTCAACTGTTGATTGCGTATAGATCTGAGATTGGAATCGCTTCCTTCCTTTCTGTCTTCCCTTTTTTCCTCCTTTAATTTCCCTCCAATGAGTACCTTCAGGGTTGTCTATAAAAAGAAACATGGGTATTGTTTCACGAAACTGTCCTAAGTACACAATAACCGGAAGGAAATTAAAGGGGAAAAAATGAAAACAAGGAAAAGGAAGAGATTTCAGTCTCAAATCTGTAAGTTCACCGACATACACGTGCATCATTGGAAACTATACTACTGCTATTACTGCTGCTACTACTACCACCACTACTACTACACTTACTATCACCGCTACTACTTCTACTACTAGTACTACTACCAGGCGCGTACGCAGGGGGGAGGAGGGGGGGGGGGTGGTGGGGGTTGAACCCCATTTAGTTTTTAAAATAAAAAAAATTGTGGTCCTGGGTGACCCCAAAAGCTGACTTTACCCCCCCCCCCCCAGACGCGCCGGTGCAAGTTTGGGATGGGGGGGGGGGCAAACATTCCAGGGGGCTCAGATTCAGGGGCAGTGGGGTAATCACCAATTATTATTATTTTTGTTTGGGGGGGGGGGGGAAGAAAATCTGCATCACCACCACTCTTACAATACATGCAGGCCCCGCGGAACCTTTTTCAAAGTGGGGGTATTAACGATCAGGTAAAGCGAAGCGAGTGGAGCGTACATTGGCGTGGGGTCCAGGGGTGGAGCCCCCGAAAGCTCAGGGTTTTTAGACATTAAATTGCAGTCAGATTAGCATATGGACACTGCAGGTCACTAATTGGCCGGGGATCCAGGGGGCTCAGCCCTATGAAGCTCAGGGGATTTAGGCATTTAATTACGGTCAGATGAGCACATTTTGATACCTGAATTTTGACACTGGCAGGTCACTAATCCGTTCTTTCTCTTTTCCTTTCTCTTTAACATAATTTTTCATAAACTTTTTCGTTTTTTTTTGGTTTTTGTTTGTTTGTTGTTTTCCCCCTTGCCCCCGCACTTCCGCCGCCCCTGAATATAGTGCTTGATAATAATGTTTCTAAGCGCTCTAACATTAATTCCCTAAGTATTCGCCGGGCTACTGATAAAGTGCTTTGGCATTTGAAAATTTTCTTCCAATTACAAACAGCTGAACATCACCTTTCAATAAATCAAATACGAACTCTCGCTATCACCTCTTGTAACCTGAGAGGTAGGAGATTGTATTAATGTCAATATTCTGAGTATGAAACGGTGCGCCTCTGAGCGAGAAATAAAAACGTTGTCATTATTTATACCTCAGAGTCATTCACTGTTTGTGCCCTCTGTAGCAATGTAGGCCTATATCATGCAAATTTAATCGAATCGAATTTGCATGGAAGGAAGGAAAATGATTTCCGCGTGAAAATTACGTTAGTTTTGCTCAGACTTGACCCAGTTTGAAAGATATTACCCAATACTTGTAAAGGAAAAATAAAATTCCCTATATTCTGTAACATGAGTGTGCCTGTTTCATTATATATATATATATATATTTATTTATTTTTTCGTTTTGTTTTTTGTCTGTTCATTCAGGGTTCAAAGCTTGGTCTTTTTTTTCCTCTCTCTCTCTCTCTCTCTCTCTCTCTCTCTCTCTCTCTCTCTCTCTTTCTCTGTCTGTCTGTCTGTCTGTCTGTCTCTCTCTCTCTCTACAGGTGTCTGTCTCTTTCTCTCTCTCTCTCTCTCTCTCTCTCTCTCTCACCCTCTCAAAATCATTTCCAGATAGAACACGATGCTCTTGAAATAAAGGGAACAGAAACAAATAAAAAATATTGCATACGCCTATCCTTGGAGCAAACGTGTCTCGAAAGGGGTCCCAAAGGGGTTAAGTCCTAAGGAAGATCAGATGACTATATAAACCAAAAAAAGAGACATATCGAAAGGAAAGAGAAACAGCTACACTCATGCCTGCACTCATGTGATTCGGCCTTCATTGGTTGTTCAGAATGTTCAGAATGTTAAAGATTGAAGTTTAACTATTGCTGTTTGATGTATAGTCAGGGCAGACATATTAATATAAACAAGGGCAAAGGATTCTCCAGCACTAAACAGAAAGGGGAGGGGCAACATGAGCAGCGCGCGAGAACCAAGCTAGCAGCATGCGAAAGACCCGGAAATGCAAGGTCGCGCCATTTTCAAAACAAACCATAGAACTTATATGGTTTGGCATGGGGACAGAATTTGTTTAGAATTGGAGAGTTATATTTATGTCTTCAAAGTAGCTGTGAGTATGAAAGTACTGATGTAAATATACTCAGTTATATTCATGATCTAGCAGCAGGCAAAATATAAACGTTATTTCCCCAATGTCGCTGAATTCTGAAATGTTGTGAAATCATGTGTTGTAGTTTTTAATGTACAGTCCCACTCGTTAACTGTCATGTCGGTAGGGATACAAATTGTGTGTCAATATTTCGAGAGTTGTAATACATTTCTGATGAGATGAAGATATGTGTGAGGGGAAACCAGTCCATTCACAAAGCATGCACACATTTGAAGTAATTTGTGTCACTGTATCTAATCTAACTCTGACTGACATTCACTCTGAGTCTGAGTGACTCTGCCTCTGGCTGAGCAGGAGTAAGGCCTAAGGGGAGGGGGGGGGGGGGGGGGGGGGGAGTGGGATTGGGGAATTGGGTACAGACGGGCAGCAGTTGCAGTCGTACGAGTAATCTATATGGACCGTAGAGGTGCATGCCATGACCCATTTTAGAGACAGTCTCTCATTTCATATAAATTAACTGAATAAATCTTTCAAAAGAAAACCAGCACCAGCCGTCAATCATCATGCAGGCATCAGCACAGTTATTAAATATTGTTTTTACCAGCCGATATTTTGTTGATTGTGTAAGTAGAGGTCTACAAAAAGTACAAGGACTAAAATCTAAATTGTAATTTGTGTGTGAAGGCTTGAGTCGGTACGGTCGATCACACCGGGACCCGACCGTTGCCGTCGGGTCCCGGTTTCGTTTTTGAGAACCGACGCTCCGAAAAAAATAATGAAACATGTAAGAAATTGCAGTTTTGCACACCACTAAAATCATTCCACCATAAAACTTGAGTATTTAATTGTTACCAATCATATTCTAGCTCATCCTGAATCAATCCGAACTGCTGATATAAATATGGGTTGCAAAGCAGTTCGACCCATGGGGTTGTTGTTGCCAGCTGCTAGCTAGCTACTATACTGGCCGGGTCTCTCGGCAGGATAATTAAACCAGGTTGAAAGAAACATTAATGTTTGAATAATAAAACGGCCTTCTAAAAAGTATTTCTTTGCAACATACCGATCGAATAATTTTTAAAAGACAAAATATATATTTTTTCTTTGATTTTGAACACCGCATGCTTCTTTTGAAAGCTGAAAATTACTTAGTAATCACAAGAAGTTTCGATACGGATAGCTGTTGCAAGGCAAGTTCAGACTAGTCTCGGAAAAATGCGCAGTGTTCCTCGTCGTTAGCTGTAATGCGTGCCAGAACGAACCCAAACAAAGACGTGATCGTAACGAGAAAAAATCATTAAAAACTACGAGAGCACAATTGGAAAGACAACTACTCAAAATTATCGTAAGCAGATACATATCTTGGAGGAAGAATACAATAGTTGTCCAAGAAAAGCCACAGAAACAGTGATATTTAAGGAGTTACTATAGGTACAATCATTATCGGAATGGGCCTTCTGCTCTGAATTACACGTGTTTAAATTGAACACGAGGCTAGATCGAAAACAAATACCGCCCTCTACGGTAAAAGCAGTATAACAAAGTATTCGAGTATTTGCAGAAGGCCCCTTGCGATAAAAATGTACCTAGTTATTCCTCGATTATCACATTTTCTGTGGCATTTCTTGGGCTATTATTGAATTCTTTGTCCAAGTAATGTATCTGATTATGGTAATTTTGAGCAGTAGTTCTCTTTCCAATTGTGCTCTCGTAGTTTTGAATGATTTTTGTTACGATCAAGTATATTTGTTTTGGTTCGGTCTGGCACGCATTACAGCTAAGAGGTGCACTGCGCATTTTTCCGTGACTAGTCTGAACTTGCCTTGCAACAGCTGTCCGTATCGAAACTTCTTGTTGTGATTACCAAGTATTTTTCAGCTTTTAAAAAAAAGCATGCGATGTTTAAAATAAGAGATAAATATTTCTTTGTCTTTAACAAATTATTTGATCGGTATGTTGTAAAGAAGAATTTTTTAGAAAGCCATTTTATTATTCTAACATTCATATTCTTTGACCCGATTTATTCAACCTGCATGAATCAAAATGGCGGCTCGAATGTTGTCTTTATATTTTTGCTCGAGTTTTTTTATTTTTAGAGGCACGATAATGCCACTAAACATCGCCAATCATGGATGAAAAATAATGTCAAATGGAAGAATATACCAGTCTGTGCCGAGGTATGCATGTGTTGATTTATTTGACTGATAAAAAAGGTCACTTTTAAGGGACATACTGATGATATGCGCTTTTTATAGAGGCAAGTGACAGATCCTGCGAGCTGATTTCGGGACACCGGGTCCCGATCGGTGCAAGGCCGTCGGGACCCGGTTTATGAAAATCCCGACATGACTCAGGCCTAGACTGTGAACACAAAACAAACAAAATAAACAGAGAATATAGCCTATAGACCTCATTAATGTAAGACTCCCAAAACGGCTTCCAAAAATCTTTACAAAAGTTTTCTATGACAAAAGGGACAATAAAGAAATACATAGTCCAAATGGAAAACAAGTCAGACATGTGCCTATGAAATAATAAAATGATACTAATGAAACTGCTGGGCTCATGAGCTTTCTAGTTGTATATGTTGAAGTTTGATAAAATTGATTGTTTTTCCTTGTATAGTGGTAACGCATGTTTTTTGTGGAAGGAATGCGTTTTTAGAGGTATCTTAGTTTGAACCAAATTCTATCTATGACTTATTGTATGATCTGATTGATTGTCTCCCCACTCCCAGATGTACCATGTGCCTCTACTGGTGCACTGCCCTGTTTTGAAAAAAACGATGATGCACTAACAAAATCCATTTCATTGAACACTTTTTAAAATTTCTTTTCATCCCAGAGTTTTTGAAATGTGAACAGCCATGGCTACCAAGCTCCAAAGGCTTCAGAGGGGACAACATTTCTTGGGCAGGACACTATTCACTGCTGCAGTAGCGCCTAGGCTGGTGAAATTCAACACTGTAGAAGTGGTCTCCTCCCCTAGCCTCTCTGAGATTAGGAAGTTCTTCAAGGACAGTGGATGCCAAGTTTCAACAGGCTACACATGCCTCAAGTTGACATGTCCCTACTGTGTAGACCCAGAGGCAGAGTCAGAGCGAGGTGCCAAATCAAAAGAGAAGCAACTCTTTGTTAATATGACCACAGGTAGTTACGACAGTCTTTTAGATTGAATATCACATATCGAGCATACTTCGATGAACAAAGTATAGTGTAAGGTGCTTGCTGTTTGTGCTCAATGACTAGGGATTTTTAAGGACTGGTAATATAAACAATATGCTCTTCAACTTTTCCCAAAACACCAAAACGGGCCAATTGTTTAGAATAGGGAAAAAATTATTCAAAAATTTTGGGGGGCTACTTTTCAAGTTTGCTTTCATGACAATAACACTCTTTAATTTGTTTTGCATTGAACTCTACATTTTGAGGGCTCTTTTATGACTTTCGGGGCTCTTTTTGGCATTTTGGGGGCTAATTCGCTCTGAGCCCCCATGTATTTTGACCAATTTGTTTGTTTCATTTGAATGACTTTACTTTCTCTTATGAAGTTCTACACCAAGACCACTAGCCTGTCAAGACATTTACCTATTTTACTGTACTAGACTTATACCCTCCCATATTTGACCACTTCATTTGACCTCACAATGACCTTTGACCTCTGTGACCCCTGCTGTTGATTCCCTCAGGTCACTGCCAATGTCAGTGCAGCCGAGTGTGTAGTTCCTGGTCCAACCTTACGGACAGCCTGGCCATCGCCAAGAGACAGACCAAGAAGAAGAAGAGTGCCCCCAAGCTACCCAAAGAGCAGTCATGTGATCAGGAGTGGAGGTCAGAGGTCAAAAATGCTGAGGAATTGTGGGAGAAGGGCTCAAGTCTGAGCGAGCTACGGAGCGACTCTTTGCGGAAGTTGAAGGACAGATTTGGGGCAGGGGTAAGTGCTTCTATTTTTCTATGTTGAGGGTAAAATTGTATATTTATAAGTTAAAGAAGTGAGAAATTAGATCTTCTACATTTTCTACTTTTTTAAACATAACTCTATAATGGTATTTGGGTTCATGCAAGTTGCTCTTAAAATAACATGATGATGCTCTGTTAAAAGTAAAGACTAAAGTGATCATACATAACATTACGGTTGATTTTCAAGCTTTTATTTATGTTGGACTATTGGTGATTGATTTGGCATATTATTTGCTTTTTATGAAAATATTTAATTGTTTGACTTTACAGTCGCTCTCCACAGAAACCTTCGATAGATTCTGTGCCAGAACGGACGCAAAACGAAAAACGCTGTTATTGCCACAGTATGGACCTGAGTCTCAACACAGAGGAACAAGTATGGTTGAGACGTGTAAACAGGACCCCGATGAGCCTGAAGACTCTCATTTAAACCGGGTACAATCTACTGTCATTCCGAGGTAGGTGGTTTCACAGACCCAATGACAATTCCTTAGGTTGATTTTGTAATTTGACAGGCCATTATGGCCCGAATTCACCGAGGAGGTTTGTCGACAAACCTAGTTTTATGTGCGTCAGAACCTTTGTCAGAACCTTTGTCTGCAACGCTTTGAAACGCATCATATGACGCACATAAACATAGGTTTGTCAACAAACCTCCTCTGTGAATTCGGGCCACTGGGTTTAAAGTATTTATTTATAAAGAATACTGTTTGAGACATTGTGATTATTGATTCTTTGTCCTATTAACACCTGGATAGAGAATGGCAAACATAGATTAATGTCTTGCCACGGACATTAGTACCGGGCTGGGATTTGAACCCTTTACCTTGTGGTGTACAGTCCAGGGACTTATCCACTAGACCACAATAAGCCAGTTCACGATTACAGGTCATTACAGAACAAATTTTGAAATACACGGAGTTAAGTTAAGTCAGTTTAATCGTGATCATGATTTTATTTTTGTTCTTGTCAGGGATTTTTCTCCTGGACTGTTTGGATTCCACCTCGTCCAGCCTCAGCACACAGAGATCATCCTCACGGCCAATGAACTGGATGCTATGGCGGTCAGCGAGGTGATCGGTCAGTCAGCCCTGGCCCTCCCCAGGGGTACGGCCTATCTTCCACAAGAGGTAAGGTGATGTTCTAACATTTGTTCCTGCATATTTTGCAATCATTTATATTTTGTGATTTTGTGGCCTTCAAACTAATGTTATGAACTTTGGATTCCTCACTTTTTTGGGGAAAACATCTGTGTAAAAGATACCGTCAAACCTGTCTTAGTGACCACCTCTCTATAGTGGCCATGTACCTGTATTTCGTCTCCATCAAGATAGAAAAGTGTGGTGTAGAACCTGTCTAGAAAGGCCGCCTGTCTACAGTGGCCACTTTTTCTATATCCCTTGGGTAACCTGAATAAAAGTCAACTGTATACAAAATAGCCTGAGCTCTTAATTTTGTTGTGAGAGATGACTAATTTTTGCTGTAAAAGGTTGGCAGGTACATATACTCCTGTGCCTGTTTGATAGAAATTGCCATATGCCCTTATGGTGACCATTAGGTAGGAATACTCCTTAATAAGTGCCCAGTGTGCCTAAATATATCCGATGACCGGGGTGATAATGTTATCTGTAAAGTGCTTAGAGATATGAAAATCCTGAATCATTACTAGAATTAATACCACCTGTATGGGTTACTGGCGGAGGGTGTATGGAAAACAAATCGGAATAGACTTTAGGAGAACAATTGTTTGAGGAGATGAAGTTAGAGACAATACAAACAGAACTCAAAAGAGATGGAGAGAGATGGAAAGAGATATGGGGAGGGAGAGAGAGAGAGGGAGAGAGAGAGAGAGGTGGGGAGGAAGAAAGCAAGAGAGAGAGAGAGAGAGAGAGATGGGGAGGAAGAGAGCAAGAGAGAGAGAGAGAGAGAGAGAGTGTGAGAGAGGTGAAAATTCCCCTTCCCCAACAACTGGAACAAAAGATATTCGAAAATGAGACTGACACTAGTGTAAAAAGGTAGTTTCTTTCCTCACTGTACATAATGCTACTTTTGATATCTAAATTGGACATTAAAAACAAGCTAGTGCTAATACTTTTTGTTGTTGAAATAATGACAGGTTTTGCCGCTCCTGGAGCAATTCCAGAAGATTGTGCTCTGGTTTGGCAATGACATGAGGTCATGGGAAGCAGCAAAAAGTTTTGCAAGAAAACTAAACCTCAAGAGGTGCTATTTCATCAGGTAAGCTCTCTGTTGCCAGAGAAGTGTGGGATTTATGATACAACATTTGGATAAAAAACACAACCCTAAAGCAAACAAACAAGTTTTATCTTCTTTTTACAAATTATCTGTAGGTCGCACTTTTTAGGGGCTGGTCCATATCGCCATTAACAAGAACAAAATGATAATTAATTGTGAAATTGGAATACCGTATGTGGAAAAGGTACCGGTACATGTATAGCTATTAGTGTTGAGGACTGATTTATTCTACTGAGGCTTCAGCATAGATTTTCTTAGATGTCAAGCCTTTTAAATGTGGACCGATTTATTGTTATTGTTATAGGTGTTTAAATGTTGATAATATAGACCAGCTTTTGATTTTCAGAATTCTCATTTATTTTAATCTAACATTGTGCCTTGATTTACACATAATCATGTACCTTGGAATGATTAATTTAAAATATGTTGTCTTTTATACTTATAATTTTATCGTTTATACAAAATTCTTCTTCAGACCACTTGATGCCAGTCTTGGGCCCCATGCAGGCCCTCACCAAGGGTTTTAGTCTCAAAACTATCCTTCGTCAAGCCAATCTCATGAGACATTGATCCACCTTTCCACCAACATTAATGATGTAGAAGTAAAGGCCAGAGGGACTCTTAATTTACTCACATCATTCACAACTTTAAAGGCCATCTGTACTAGTTTGGTCAGGGAAGATTAGACCTCCCTGCAAGGTCACTGACAGGTGGCTATCTCACTTCTCTCAATTAACATAAGAAAAAGAGGATCATGGGGGACCAATTGTCACCGATTAGGCATTATTTTCTATATAAAGGGAGCAAGAAGCTACAAGTAATACAGTGTGCTTTTAAACAAGAAATATTAAAATATCTTCAAATACAATTCTTCTTTAGACCGCTTGACGCCCATCCTGGTCCCCTACAGGCCCTAACCAAGGGTCTGAGTCTCAAGACTATCCTCCGACAAGCCACGCCCATGAGCCACAAGTCGATCGTCTCCTTCCGTGCTCTCAGGGATGAGGTTCTTGGAGAACTATCCCATGCGGAACAGGTTGCCGGGGTCAAGGTAAGGCCAAATCTGATTTTAGATAGTTTCAGGTATTATTTAACATTGAAAACACATGTTGAACAATTGTCTGATTTCTTCTTTTTCTTCTTCTTTTCGAGTCACTATGCCATAATGTCCATTTGTGATAATCGTGGGATTCATTGCATCGTGCAGGGGGTCAGTTCTTCCAGGTGCAAGGGTCTAGTAGATGTGGGCTTAGTCTACTTAGTTTATGTAACTCACCACTTCTAGAACCTTTCATCACAATTTGTTCAAAATTTACAAGCGTAAAATAAGCTATGTTCATGTTAATAATAATATTAATAATATTGGATATTTACAAAGCGCACATATCCACCATGTAAGGTGTTCAAGGTGCTCCAATATTACCCAGGCTCTGCTAGGCTAAGTGCTTACAACATCTAAGGAATTCCTTCCTGCAGGTACCCTTTTAATACCTGGGTGGAAAGCGGCAAATGTAGATTAATGTCTTGCCAAAGGACATTGTTGCCGCGACGGGCCTTGAACCCTGTGACAGTCAGTCCAACGACATACCCACTAGACCACGACACCTGTACATGTTGCTGGGCTTAGGGTGAAAGGCAATTATAGGGAATCATCAGTCAAATAAAATGACCAATACAGGTGCTCCCCAAGGTTGTGTCTTATCTCCTGTTTTTTTCTCGTTGTACACAAGTAATTGCAGGAGCACGAAAACCTCTTGCAGTTTAATTAAATATGCTGATGATACTTTTGGAAGCAAAATTTCTATGTAAAATTTGCATGCATAGACCAATAAAAATAATCTTGAATCTTTATAGAGCTTTTGCTAATCATTTCTTGTCTTCCTCTTCTTCGACAGTGGAAGCGATACCCGCTTCTCAACAAGCACATGAAAGGTCACAGACGGGGCGAGCTGACCGTCTTCACCGGTCCTACGGGGTCAGGCAAGACCACCTTCATGGCGGAGTATTCCCTGGATCTCTGCATGCAAGGAGTAAGAAAAATTGACAATTTACATACATACAGTTAAAGCCCCTTTAAAGTGTTGGGAGACCCACAAATTTGATGGCAAAATTTCACTCATATTGTATCATAATGTGAAAGAGGATGTCATTAAAGACACACATTTGCAAGGATTTTCAAAGCAAATGTGTTTGAAGTCGAGTATTGATGAAAGAACACAAAATTTAGGTGTTTTTTAAAATCAAAATTAGTCTTTAAACAATTTTTTTTTGGGGGGGTGGGGGGAATCTTTGCAGAAGTGTGTCTAAAGGCCCGGTCCCACTGCACTTACGGATGCAAAGAGGATGGAAAATGTAAAAAAATCTTGCCGTCCGTTGGAAAACGCTATGCATCCGTTGTTTACTCACTGCATATGTGTTTCATACGCTCTATCCATCGTCCACTGTGATTTCATCCACGCAAAAAGTTTTGAGCTGCACAAAACTTTTAGAACGGATGAACTTCCGCCGTGTACGATGTAAATCCGCGACAAATAGAGCAACAAACGTATATGTCCATTATCATCCGTTAAACGTCCGCTGTATCCTCTCTGCATCCTCTGGGCAACCTCGCAACTCACCTCCGCTGCAGCTGAAAACGGAAAGAGGGAGGAAAGATAAGGTACATGGAACGTCTATACATCGTTAGTAGCACGGAAATAGAAAGAATGTAAGCGTATGCATCTCGTATATATAGTATTCAAAGCTGTCATCCACTTCCATCCGCTTTCATCCGCTAGGCTTCCGATGAACATCCGTTTAACATCCCTGCTACATACTACCCACGTCCGATATTTTCCGTTCGGTTTTCGCCAAATTTGTCCATTTCTGGAGTGAATGAAAATGGATGGAGCCACCCCCGAAATTTTGCTCGTCCGCTGTGTCCGTTATGCATACGTTTTGTGTCCATCGGCCAGTGTGACCGGGCCATTAATAACATCTTCTTTCACATTGTTATGATTATGATACAATTTAAGTGAAATTTTGCCATCAAATTTTTGGCGAATTCGGGGCTCCCAATACTTTAGAGGGGCTTTAACAACTAAGTTATTCATACCCCTACCAAGTTTTATAAATTTTAAGTATGTGAACAATTGATTTCTCTAGATTGATGTGTCTTGATAATGTGTCATATAAAAGCTTGCATCTACAAGTATTCAACAAAGTCCACCTTTCATTCTTATGTAAAACACAAAAAACATTAAACTTATAAGGAGTATGAATAATTCAGTTCTTAAAGGTTAAGACCAGTATTGGAAATGCCCCAATTTCAAAAAATGAAATGGAAGCTCTCATTACCAATCATGTGAAAGAATATGTTTTGAGTAATACATGATGATAAAAATTTTTCTGGGAAACCGCCTACTAATTCATATATTTGGTAAATTTGTTTCTCTCATGGTCTGTGAGAGATATAGGGTAGTCCCATATACATCTTTCTGTGTATAGTGCTTGTAACTTTACGAAGAATGGGCCAAATTTCTTATCATTTTGATGATTCCAGAACCTTGCAGATGCTAGATGATCAACCTTTTCTGATCGATTCCACAACGTTTCTTTCACAATGCAATCGCATGACCATAACTGGTCTTTACCTTTAAGATAAGCTTGAGTTCTGGTAATGATAGAAAATAAATTCTTACAGAATCCAACAAAACTTACACTGAATGTTCAAGATAACAAATAATTGACACATGCCAAACGATTTCGGTAGAAAATGTATAGGGGCTGAGTAATGAGCATTGAAAGATAAGGAAATCAAGGTAGGCCTGACACCATGTGCTTAACACAGGTCACTACGTGCAAATGAGAATTGTGGTTTTTATTGAAGATGATTTCCAGCAAGTTTTGTGAGTTTGTTTTTATTTTACTGGTTCAAACAATCGCTGCAGGATAAACAATCCAGAATGAATTATAGCCTTGTTTTATCATTATACGATTCCCATACCAGAGCTCAAGATTTCACCCAATCTTGTTCACTGTTATAATAATAATAATAATAATAATAATAATAATAGCCTAATAGTCCACTCCAAATTTTATTAAACCAAAACGGAAATTCTTTTTGCCCAATTGATCGTGAGCCCGGCAGCCACTGAGCAGCGCCAGATCGACGTTGCTCTATCCCTTATTGTTGAACGCCAAACAAGGTAGCAACAACTCCCATCTTTTAACGTCTTTTGGTATGACGCGGCCGGGGTTCGAACCCACGACCTCCCGGTTGTGAGGCGGACGCTCTACTGACTGAGCCAACACTCCGGTTATGGTAGCAAGAGAGACAGCCTTTCATTGTTTTGTTCTTTCTCTTCCATCAGGTGAATACACTTTGGGGGAGCTTTGAGATCCAGAATGTACGTCTTGCCAAAATCATGTTAACTCAGTTCTCAATGTGAGTAGAATCATTGGTTTATTTTCATGATTTAAAGGGAAAGTTCACCCTGATATTAAGTTGTTTTTAACATGCTTCTAATGAATACATGCATTTTGAAGTTCCCATATTGAAAAGATCAAATCAAAATTAGGCAGTTTGATTTTTAATTGTAAGTCATCTAAGTTGTGCAGATGCTAGATGAGATTGATTACTGTATTGATAATAATAGTAATATTATTGATAATAATAATTATAATATTAATAATAATAATGACCAGGGTAGTATTGATAATAATATTAATGATAATATTTATAATGATATTATAAGAAAGAAAAAAAAAAGATCCTGTCTTTCAGGTGCAATTTAGAGAACATTAAAAAACACACGCTAGGTACGCATTTTACACCTGGATGGAGAGGTGGCAATTGTGGATTGATATCTTGCCAAGAGACATGAATTCCGGGCTTTGGCTTAGATTTGAACCCTCAACCCTTAGATTGAGAGTGAAGTGAATGAACCACTATACCACGACACCTCCACATATCTAATAAGCAATCATTTGATCTCCTGGTTTGTTTTTCAGGTGCAATTTAGAGAAGAACATTGACAAATTTGATCGGTGGGCTGATAAGTTTGAGCTGCTCCCCTTGCACTTCATGACGTTCCATGGCCAGCAGTCCCTCAAGACTGTTATTGATGTGAGTCAGCGAAAAATATTCTCATGATATTGATAATCCCAATATATTAAATAAAACTTTATTGATAGGTAATGAAACATTGATTTTTTTTCCTGGTCATACTCCTGAGCTATTGCTTTTTTGTATCCACCATAGGTCTTGGCCTGCTCTGTTTGTGTTATAGACCAGTTTGTAGTTAGAGTACTGGTATGGTACAGATGACCCCCCAAATAATGCATGGATCTTGAAACATGGAGAGATGCCACTGTGTGCATTTCAGGGAATTCCCTCCTAAATTGATGGAGCTGCTTCGTGAATCACCTTTGCTTCCCCTTTCAAAGAGAATGCTTCAATCTTTGTATCATTGGAAGCACAAACAGTGCCTTAAGTGAATAATGGTTAAATTATATTAAGCTCATTAGCACCTAGCCAGCATTCATCTGAGGGTTTTACAAATTGAGTACAAGTGACCTTTATCTGCTCATATGCAGATTTATTGACAGTGCTATTCTTTTTTCAATCATGGGCCATGTCGAATTCTCTTTACGACAGTCATATTGTTAGATACTGCTTATAAGTACCGGCTTTCATGGTGATGTAGATCTACAGTAGGCTTGAGGTTGTTCCATGTGAGAGAGGTGGGAGGATTGTGGAGACCTGGAAAAGACTCTCTGGAAAGGACTCTCTCCTTAGAACTATAAGCTCAGAAAGATAACCAACAGTCTTTTTCAGAAGTACCAACAGTCCTTTTCAGGACTACACACACTTAAAAAAGAAAGATTACCAACAGTCATTTCCAGGTCCCCCCAATCCTCCCCCTCTCTCACATGGTGCAACCGCAAGCCTACTATATACATTCATATTGTTATCTTTTGCCCCTCAGGCCATGGCCCATTCTGTCTACGTCCACGACATCGAGCATGTCATCCTCGACAACCTCCAATTCATGGTCGGTGTGTCCGAGCGCCAGCTATCCGTCGACCGCTTCGCAATCTACGACAACCTCATTGCAGCATTCAGGAAGTTTGCTACGGAGAACAGCTGCCATGTTTCCGTGGTGATACACCCAAGGAAGGTCAGTTGAATTCCAATCCAATCCTGGGGAGTGTTTCACAAAGGCTAAGATCATCTTAAGTTGGATCTTGAACTATTGCAGGCCATTCATATCTGTTGATGCTCTCACCATTGGTCTCTCAAGGGACGTCACAAATCTACAGAATTTATATTTTTGATAGTTCATTGTTGAAGAAAAAAGTTACTTACATTGTAAACCTAAGTTATATAAGAGACTTGGACTTATACTACAGTATGTGATTTATGCCCTTAAGAAATCTGGAACCAACTGTAAAATTAGAAGGAAAAAACCTTAGAAATTATGAGCTTCAGATATGTTTTCCTTCAATAATTAACTATCACAAATGTAAATTTTGTAGATTTGTGACCACAATTTGTACGTCCCTTGAGAAACCAATGCCAGGAATGGTGAGAGCAACCCGTGGCATAAATGGCCTACCATAGTTCAAGTCCAACTTAAGTTGATCTTAGTCTTTGAGAAATATCCCCCAGGAATTGTGTAGAGCACCAATATCTAGAATGAACAAGCTTTTAGGAACCTGCGGAATAAAGAACGTACATATTAACAAAAAATTGGATTTCATTCAAAATATCTGACCTTCAGAATATGAGACAACAAAGCTGTAACCATGTGTTTTTACTACTTTTAGGAGAAGGAATCTGATGAACTTCAAACAGCGTCCATCTTTGGAAGTGCCAAGGCGAGCCAGGAGGCTGATAATGTCCTCATCTTACAAGACCGTCGTATGACTGCCCTCAAAGGCCGAAAATACATCCAGGTCAGCCATTTTCTATCGTTCTATATGTTTGACAATTATTGTACCTGACAGCTGCTAAGAATGTATACGATAATAAGTAAGCAACCAGGGAACCGATGGCTTTGAGTCCTTTTCAAGGGACTTGAAATGAGTTTTAATGCCTTACCAAAGGGCACAAGCGCCTTGACGTTGTTTCGAATCCGGGAACTCCGGCTGCAAGACCTCAGCTCTACCACTGAGCCATCGTGCCTCCTCCTATTTCATACGAGGGTCTGTTCAAAGCGAGGAGATCACAAATCTTTTGAAAAAATTGTGTACAGCTGAAATCTATGAAATCAACTTGAAAAATCTGTACCCGGAGATGTTATGATCTAGTGGATATGTCACCGTACTGTTGATCTTATGGGTGCGGTTTGAGTATCATGGCTACACTATTCATTCAGTTAAACAGACATTACGTATAACAATCAGATATATAACATGAAATGCACACTCAGAACATATTGGAAAAGGACATAAAATAAACTGAATAGGTTGCAACCTGAAAGGAAACCTAATCCTTAAATAAAGCTTGACCCTTTTTTGTCACGCCTGCGTAGCAAAAAGCGAGACATAGGCGCCGCTTTTCTGATGACGGTGACGGTGACGGCGACGGCGGCGTCAACATCAAAAACTTAACCTATGGTTAAGTTTTTGAATTTTTGATATCATTTTTAATGTACAAGTTCTTAGTCAATGAAACTTTGACTATAGGGTTATCAAGTCTCCCCAATCATGTGAGTAGAATTTCAGGTCACTAAGTTAAGGTCAAAGGTCATTTAAGGTCAACAAACTTAGACTTTGTTGTGGCATCAACATCAAGATTTTCAAAATGCTTCTTCTTCGTTATTTTTCAACCGATTTTGATTCTGATTGTTTCATATGATAGGGCTAGGAGGGGGATTTAAAATTTCTACACAGAATCATGAAATTAATTATCTATGCTAATTTATGCAAATTTGTTCGAAAATCACAAAAAAGGCTTCTTCTCCTTCATTTCTCGACCGATTTTGATTTGGTTTGCTTTATATCGTAGAGCTAACTTTGGTACACTAAACTTCAACACAGAATTTTGAAATTGTTCTCCATTAATTAGTTATGGTAATTTATGCAAATTTATTCCAAAAATAACAAAAATTGCTTTTTTTTCCCTCATTTCTTGACCGATTTTGATTTGGTTTGCCTTATCTGGTAGAGCTAAATTTGGAACACAAAACTTCTACACAGAATTGTGAGATTTTGCTCAATTGATTATTTATGGTACTTTATGCAAATGAAATGAAATTATGTCCCTTCCAGGGCATCAAATTTTTATTTTTTGACCAGTTCAAAAGTGTACCACATAAAATTTACGATATTTGTTGTTGCGAGATGCGGATGAGCGCTACGTCATTGACGTTCTGGTTTATCATATTGCATTGCGTTATGCAGGCGAGAACGCCGAGAGCGTTCTCCTTGTTTAATAATAACACTAATGTCCTTTGGCAAGATATTGATACATTTGTCACTCTCAACCCAGGTGTAGGCAATGGGTACCTGGTAGGAACCTACCGGTATTCCTTGAATGCTTTTAGTGCCTTAGGGCAGCAGGGCTTAAGATAGGGTAATACTACTACTTTGTAGCCACCTTGAGCATCCCCTAGAATGGATACGTGCCCAGTATGAATTACTGGTAGCTGTTACTATTTAATTTTCTCTAGGCTTATGGTAAGGCATATAAAGAAAATAAAGGATAACATACAATGTACTACCCTCTCAATGAAACCAAAGTTTTGCGCCAGCCTTATTCTATGCGAGTGTGTTCGCATGCATCATTGTCAAAATCTATTATTATGATTGTGAGTATTATCATTATTATTATTATTACCATCGTCATCATCATCAATATTATCACTTATCTGTATTACTTGCATTATTATCTTCATCGTCATCATCTTCATTATTAATAGTGTTATTACCTTTTTAAAAGTATAATTGGTCCACTAGAAATCAGATTGAAATCTATGTCATTTTAAATGCCTTTCCTACCAAGTAATTGGATAATACTTTAAATTTATGATAATATGTTATGGAAATATTAAGTTTCGTTATTATATGTACATACATGTATATTATGTAAAAAAAACATTTTGACATGAAGAAATTATTGTTTGTTTATGTTGTATTATACCTTACATTTATATGTTCTTTGATATTCAGTTATATTATATTTGGAAAAAATGCAGAAATAAAATAGAATCAAAGTACCAAGACTCAACAACATTTTTGATTGTCATTTTCAATGTTCTTCACAACCAGGTGGTCAAGAATCGTTTTGATGGTGACCTGGGTATCATTCCATTGACCTTCAACAAAGAAACACTGACCATGTCGCCACCGGTCAAGCAGAAAGCCAAACGTCCGACCAAGAAAGAAAAGGAGGGAGAGGATGCGGAGAAGAAGACGGATGGAGACGAGTATGAACTGTTTGAGGGTATGATGCTCAAGAGTAAAAGTGAGACTGAAATTGGAATCGGCGAGTGAAACCGGCCCCTTGTGTCAGTGCTTGGTCGATGTGGCATTGGGCGGTGTATTTTTGGCCCTGGTTTGCACGATGAACTGATTTTACGTTCTGCTGAAGAGTAAGAACTAGGATGAAATTGGAATCGGCGAGTGAAACCGGCCCCTTGTTTCATTTTTTGCTCAAGATGGCACTGATCATGAACTCTGTATTGCTGGCCCAAGTTGCACAAGGAACATTCAAGGGACGGTAGGATGCTAAAGAGTAAGAGTTTGGATGATCTTCAAGTTTAACTGGACAGGTGTATTGAACTCTGTATTTTTGGCCCTGGTTTGCAAGATGAACTGATTTTCGTTCTGCTGAAGAGTAAGAACTAGGATGAAATAGGGATTGGAGAGTGAAACCGGGACCTTGCGTCAATGTTAAGGCAATTTGGCAATGGACGGTGTATTGTTGGCCCTGGTTTGCAAGATGATCTGATTTTTGTATAGAACTGATTTTTGTTATGCTGAAGAGTTAGAACTCATTTAGAACTCAGATGAAATTGAGATCGGCGAGCGAGATGGGTCCTAATTGGTCCTAATTGTCACAGTATATTCAGTAAGTGTGGCCCGGATTGCAGAAGGAACTGTTGCAGAATGTGCTGATCAAGAGTAAGGATGAGGATGAAACTGGGATGGCCTAGTGAAAGTTTGTAAAACTTGGTCCAGGTCCTGTTATGTATTAAATATGGTACTGTACTTATAATCACAGGCCTAGGTTGCACACGATCACTTGTATGAACAAAACGTCCTTGCTCAAATTAGTCTCTTGAGCTACCTGATGAACCCTGCCCCAACAAAAAAGAAAGAAAGAATGTTGACCGATGTTTATTATTGGAATCCAAGCGAGTGGGAGAGTGCGCTTTAAGCCATCAGTTCATTTATTTGTCATGTGTACATTGAACCATTGAATACTTAACCAAAGATAAGAAGAAGAAGAAGGAGAAGGAGGAGAAGAAAAAGAAGAAGAAGAAGAAGAAGAAGAAGAAGAAGAAGAAAGAGGAGGAGAAAGAGAAGGAGAAGGAGAAGAAGAAGGAGAACAGGAGGAGGAGGTAAAAAGTGCAGCTGGATATTCAATTGATCTTTTTTTGCCAAATAATGCTGTTATCGTCAAATGTAATATTGGGTGACAGATTTTCTTATTCTATAATCTGTATACTACATGTACGTGCGACTGATGAAAATCATATCATATGTTTGGTTCACATAATAAAAAATAAAAACATGAATAAAAATAAAGGCTCAGACTAAGTTTACAAAGAACAGAAATATGATACAAAACATGAGCACATTTTGGTGATGACAAACTGATAATCATACATAATATTGATTTTCGTTTGGTTATGGCTTGTTCCATTTCCTTAAGTTAGATACAAAGAGATTCGAAGATCGTGGGCTCGATCCCCAGCACGGAACGTATGACCTTGAGCAAGGCAATTTTTATCTACAGTACTCTTCTCTACCCTGGTGTTAATTGGGTTCCTGTTATGATGCAAAAGTCATTGTCCTTTGTTTATCATTGTGAGCCTTTGTAGTGGTGCCTGGCTGGATTGCTCCCCAAGGAGTGGAGAAAGTGCATACATTAAATGAAGATTAAGGTGCTTTTTTTATAATTTGCCAAATTGAAGTACTATAATTGCTATCACAGGTCTACTGTTTTATCTCGAGTACTTTAATGTATTTTTTCAATGTATAAGTGAAACGTTCCACATACAGTCAAACCTGTCTTCGTGGCCACCTCTCTGTAAAGACCGCTTCTCTGCAATGGAAATGTCTAAATTGCCATCCTCAAGAAAAATATATTTGTTGAAAAACCTGTCTACAGTGGCCACTTTTTCTGTTTCCCTTGGGTGGCCTCAATAGACAGGTTTGACTCTAGTTCATATTTTTATAATTGTTGTCTAAAGGTATTAACATTTTACCTGTATCATCATTATTAAAGAACATATTTTCATATAATTTTGATTTCTGAGTTATTTATTGAGTTTCTAGTTGTTTATTGAGCTTCCCTCCCACCGAGGTAGAATATTTTTGATTTGATTTGATTTGATTTTTGCATTTTTCCAATTACACTAACTGAATAACAATGAACATGTAAACGTTAGGTATGGTACAAAGATGCACCGATAATAAACATCATGTCCAAATGTGATTTACATATATATAAAAGTGCAATATTGTCCATGTATATTCAATTTTAAACAAAATGTATACATAATATAGTGACACTGCAGAATGAAGATTAGAGACAAGGAAGGTGAATAAAAGAAAGAGGACAAAAAAAGGGGGGGGGGGGGGGTGCTGGAGAAATAGAGAGAGAGAGGGGGGGGGGGGGGTCTAGAAGAGAGATAGTAAAATAAGGTAGCAGCTAGGGTAGACTGTAGAGAGAGAGACAGAGAGACAGAGAGCTAGTGCATATCATGTTGAGCAGTGGGCTTGAAATCCTACTCGTTTACTAATATTGAATTCAAGTATTCTGAATTTGTTTCTCTTGACAACTAAATAGCTTACAGAACTTGCCCGATCTAGCAACAAATATTAATGAGGACAGGAATTGAGAGGTACGGAAGGAGCTTCTATAATCTGACTGACTTAATTTTCATAATCTCTACCGCCGGTATCTCCCCATACTTGCTGCAAGCCGAAGATGACGTGATCCCCGAGCAGACCAGTTTACTAACATATTAAAACTTATGTCGCTTTAAATTAGGAGCACATTTAATTGGCGAAACGAAAAGGGGGCACATGTCCGAAGGTAAAAGGACACTTATCAAAAAAGAAAAGGAGCATGTTATAAAGTAAAAATAGGATTATCAGAGGTGAAAATGGGACACTACTCGCACTTGATAAGGGTCACTCACCAGAGAGGAAAAATGGCACTTACGAGAATGGGAAACAGACACTATAAAAAAAAGAAAAGGAGCGATTATCAGAAGGTAAATAGCACTATATATATATATATATATATATATATATATATATATATATAAAGAAAAGGGGCACGTGTCAAAATAAAAGATAAAAGAGGCTCTTATCAGAGATGAAAAGGGGCACTTATTATGAAGTTAGAGGGGCACCTTTTAAATTTAAAGAAGGGCACTCACCGGAGATGAAAAGATTGAGGCACTTATATTAGAACTGTCAAAAGAAAAGGGCCTCTCAGATTTGAGAAGAGGCAATTTGAAGGGCCATTTATTAGAGGTGCGCAGGAGCATTTCTGATACCTGTAAAAAGGGGCACTAACCTGTGAAGAATATGGGCGCTTATTACAAATGAAAATGGGGACTTGTCGAATTAAGAAAAGAGATTTCAATGGATTCATTGATCAGACGTGTGAGAAGCTAGCGACTTAATGAGAAAGGGAAGTTGCTCTTAAAAAAAAAGAAAAAAGGGCATTTATCAGAAGGAAAAGGGGCACTTATCAGAAAGACAAGGGGACATAGGAAAAGGGCACTTATAAGAATGTGGACTGGGCATGCACCTATTGCAAATAAAAAGGGGCCCTAATATCTGAAGTAAAGGGGGCACCTTTCCTATGTAAAAAAGGGCACTTAGAAATACTTGAAAAAGTGGGGGGGGGGGGGCACTATGCACTATGCGCTATGCCCCCCCCCCCCCCCCCCCCTGCCTGCACGGCTCTGCCGCCTCTACCCTCGACCTCACACACACAGTACTGCGCGGTAGCATATATTGGCACCAAGATTAGTGGCGATATGAATATTCATTATTCCCTACGTCACAGACGTGCGGCGTGCGTTACTCTGTCTATGGATCTGTCTTATACTGTACTAGTACAAGAGTACGTTCGTAAGCATTAGTACATACATTGCTCCGGAGTGAAGGGAATCATTATAAAGGACGAATTACTCCGTGAAGCCAAGTACAAGCAGGGAATTGAAATAGCAAACGTTCCTCGGAGCGGCTATACAATCCCTAATCTAGCTAGTTTTGTAATGACAGTTTATAGGAAAATGGACATTTAGTAGGCCTACTGTTTAGTTGTTCAATAAAATCACTCAGTTTGATTTGATTCGAGATAATATATCTCATTAATAAAACAGTATAAAGGCTGTAGGAGTGCAAATGAACCCTAAACTTGGTGCCAACACCGTTAAACAATGCTCCAAATTTAGTAATACATGCCCTATAAAAGACCCGGGGTTAGATTATCTGGGAGAACGGAAGATTGATATTGTTAAGTTGTTCCATAACATCACTCAGTTTGATTTGATTCGAGATATATCTCATTAATGAAAGAGTATAAAAGCTGTACGAGTCTCGAACGAACCATCGCCACTAATCTTGGTGCCAACACCGTTAAACTATGCTCCATATTTAGTAATACCTTTTTTGTGCCCTATATAGGCTAAAGACCCAGGGTTGGATTATTTAGAAGAACGGAAGATTGATATTGTTAAGTTGTTCCATAAAATCACTCAGTTTCATTTGATTCGAGATATAGTTATCTCATTAATAAAACAGTATAAAGGCTGTATGAGTCTCGAACGAACCATCGCCACTAATCTTGGTGCCAACACCGTTAATCTATGCTCCAAATTTAGTACTACATTTTGTGTGCCCTATAAAGACCCGGGGTTGGATTATTTAGGAGAATGGAAGATTGATATTGTTAAGATGTTTCATAACATCACTCAGTTTGATTTGATTCGAGATCTATCTCATTAATAAAACAGTATAAAGCCTGTATGAGTCTCACACGAACGATCGCCACTAATCTTGGTGCCAACACCGTTAAACTATGCTCCAAATTACCTTTTTTGTGCCCTATAGGCTAAAGACCCAGAGTTGGATTCTTTAGGAGAATGGAAGATTGATAATGTTAAATTATTCCATATCATCATTCAGTTTGATTTGATTCGAGATATATCTCATTAATAAAAAAGTATAAAGGCTCTATGAGTCTCCAAGAACGATCGCCACTAATCTTGGTGCCAACACCGTTAAACTATGCTCCAAATTTAGTACTACATTTTTGTGCCCTATAAAGACCCGGGGTTGGATTATTTAGGAGAACAGAAGATTGATATTGTTAAGTTATTCCATAACATCTCTCAGTTTGATTTGATTCGAGATATATCTCATTAATAAAACAGTATAAAGGCTGTATGAGTCTCGAACGAACCATCGCCACTAATCTTGGTGCCAACACCGTTAATCTATGCTCCAAATTTAGTACTACATTTTTGTGTGCCCTATAATGACCCGGGGTTGGATTATTTAGGAGAACAGAAGATTGATATTGTTAAGTTGTTCCATAACATCTCTCAGTTTGATTTGATTCGATTATATCTCATTAATAAAACAGTATAAACGCTGTACGAGTCTCAAACGAACCATCGCCACTAAACTTTGTGCCAACACCATTAAACTATGCTCCAAATTTGGTTATACATTTTGTGTGTCTATAAAAGACCGAGGCTTCCCAGGATCATTTAGGAGAATGGAAGATTGATATTGAGAAGTTGTTCGATAACATCACTCAGTTTGATTTGATTGCGCATTATGTCTCTTAATAATGGTGTAAAAGTCTCTAAAGAGAAGAAAATAAACAGAGAAAGAGAGAGAGAGAGAGAGAGAGAGAGAGAGAGAGAGAGAGAAGATGTGAAAGGGAAAGAGGAGAGAAAGGAAAAGAAAGAAGAGGAAAAAGAAAAGAAAAAGGGGGAGGGGGCCGAAATGGGCCTTGCCTCCCATGATGTTGCTTCCACTTCCCCCTCCCAGCAAAACAAAAAGAGAGAAGAAGGAAAGGGAAAGCAAAAAGGAAAAGAGGAGATAACGGAAAGGAAAAAAAAGAGGAAGAAGATAAGAAAAGAAGGGGAATATCAGTTACAATTTTTTTCCGCCAACAAGTTGTGGATCCGGGGGGGGGGGGGCAAAAGGCCCTTGCCTCTTCCCCCCCCCCTCCCCCACCGCCCAAAAAGAAGGGGAAAAAGGGGAAGGGAAAGAG